TCACAAGATACAATGTCATTTCTTAATTATTGACATTTTTAAAGATATAAGCTTATCCCTATGTTACACTCATCAAGAGCTTTCATTTAAGTACCCACATGTATTTATGGAAAATTTTCATATATACATATATGTAATATATATAAATATATGAAAAATTGATGTGGGTACTCAAATGAAAGGTCTTGATGAGTGTAACATCGGGATGAGCTTATATCTTTAAAAATTTCAATAGTTCACAAGATACAAGGTCATTTCTTAATTATGTATCTAAAGATACATTTTTTGGTATATTCAAAGATTTTATATTATATTATAATCAAAGAAACTTGAAAAGAGTATTTTCGAATTTCTTCTCAATTAAAATTTTATTTTTTTTTTGTTTTATCAGCCACACTTACACATTGTACACTATGAAAAAAAATTTCTTTTGAAAAAAATGGGCAATATTGTAGTAATAAATTAATTTTTAGATAATTTTATTTCTTATTTGAAGTCAAAAATTTTTTTTTAAAAAAATTTTTTCTCATTGTATTTAATAAATATAATAATGTATAATTACCAAATGCCATTAATAAATAAATCAATAAGTTAAATGGTTAAATTAATCAAGTACCTCACTTCGCAAGAGATTTTTAAGAACTAATCTATTATTTTAACTCAAAGGCAAAATTATTATTAAATTAAGTAGAAAACTTGAAGCATTACATCGATGTCAAGAAAACGATTTCTCTGATCTTGAATAATCATTAACGGTTGTTACGAAATTTAACTATTTATTTATTTATTTTTCTTTTGCTCTAATTATCTCAAGGCAAGAAAGAACACGGGCCAATTTCACTGATTATTTACTTTTTTTTTTAACAAACCAAATTGTGCGCAATAAATCTCTAAAATTTGAACCACTTAATTTAATTATTTAAATCTAACAAAGTTAATTTTCATATAAATATTTTCCAATTTACCATAAAAAATAAAGAATAACAATAATTCCCAGCTAGTAAAAAAAAAAAAGTTTTAATTTTATTAAAATTCACTGTTACTTAAAAAAAGTTATAAACGAAACTAAAGTATAACAGCGGCTTAGTCTGAATCAACTTAAAATATTACAATTGTCCACTCAGCTCATATGCGTAATTACATTAATGATAATTCACATCCGATAATCTATATATACCAAGCGTAGCGTATGTATGATAAAATTTAATAAAAACAAAAAGTTCTTTGTAATATATTTTTATTATTATTATTATTATTATTATTATTATTAAATATAAATTAAAAAAAAAATTCAAAATTATTGTCCGTAGTCATATTTTTAAATTAATAATAATAATAATAATAATAATAATAATAATAATAATAATAATTTAATTAAAAATATTATAAGAAGAAATAAGCAATACGTTCAACTTGACACTAAACACTCGATACAAGTAATGATGCTTTAAATAAGATAGCTCATTAACATTATTTAATAAAATTATCAAAGTCGATGTTTTATAATAATAATAATAATAATTATCATAAATTAAAACAAACCTTCTACCACTTTTCACACCACGTAATGTTAATCATTAAATACAAACTGACAATGAAAGAAGAAAAAAATCAACTACTTTAAAATTAGTATTCTAAAAACGAATCAACAATGATCATAATTTAAAAACTAAAATTAAATTACATGTATACATATGTTAAAAAGCAATATTAAAAAACACTTAGTTTTAAAATAAATATTAATTAATAATAAAATATTAATTATTTGTATTACTTGTATATTATTCTAAAAATAACACAAATTTTATAGAGTAGTTAAGAGTATTTAAAAAATTAATATTCGAGTGACGAGTAGATAAAAAATTATAAGTTAAAAATGTAGAGTATATAATAAGGTGTATTTTTATCAAATAAGTTTATTTGATCTTGGCACACTAGACTTAACTCTATACTACAATTACAGATCTTCATGTACATGGCCGTTACAATGAATTTTATTTAGTATCTTAAGACCTACTTATATTAGTATTTTCAAGGGCGAACATCAGCTGTATACAAACGAATTTATTTTATTGACACGCGGATGTACTTTATAAATATTAAACACCTTCAAACTTGTTAGATACATATATTTTTTTTTAAATTAAATTTTCCTTACTTTCTTAATTATATAGATTGAAATTTTTTCTTAATAGTTAAGAAAGTACAGTGCAATTTAACAAATATCTTGTGAACTATTGACATTTTTAAAGATATAAGCTGATCCCGATGTTATATGAAAAATATATCAAAATGCATGTGGGTACTCAAATGAAAGCTCTTGATGAGTGTAACATCGGGATGAGCTTATATCTTCAAAAATATCAATAATTAAAAAATGGCCTTGTATCTTATCAACTACTGACATTTTTAAAGATATAAGCTCATCCCGATGTTACACTCATCAAGACCTTTCATTTGAATACCCACATCAATTTTTAATATATTTTATATATTTATATATATGAATATATGAAAAATATATGAAAAGTGCATGTGGGTACTCAAATGAAAGCTCTTGATAAGTTTAACATCGGGATGAGCTTATATCTTTAAAAATGTCAATAATTAAGAAATTACCTTGTATCTTGTGAAATATTGACATTTTTAAAGATATAAGCTCATCCCGATGTTACACTCATCGAGACCTTTCATTTGAGTACCTACATCATTTTTTCATATATTTATATGTATTATATATATGTATATATATGAAAATATATCAAAATGCATGTGGGTACTCAAATGAAAGCTCTTGATGAGTGTAACATCAGGATGAGCTTATATCTTTAAAAAGGTCAATAGTTTAAAAAGTACAGTGCAATTTAACAAAAGACATTATTTATTAAAGCAAAATTTTATTTATTTATAGTTTAAAATTCACAGCAGTCACATAGTGACTGCAAGGTTGCTAGTATAGATTAAAATTTCTTCTTCAATAAACTGAAGTAATTTACTTAATTTTCTATTTTAACTTACAGCTATCTTCAAATAAATTAACTTGGTTGTATTCTTAGTGAATTATGGCCCTGGTTCAAGTATCCATCACATTAATGATAATTAAAATAATAAATAGTTTATCTTTAGTGAATAAATCACTAGAAATAGGAGAAACATGGAAAGAATATGACGATCCGCTTTTAGGAATTCCTCTTAAATTTAACAATTTGGTTACTAATATATCCAGCGAAGATGAAACAGATGATTACAATCCTATAGTAGGCGCTCCTATTAATAACATGTGGAGTAACTTATACCTGTTGACTCAAGATGAAAACTTGGACGAGTCTTTCTTCTTAAACTGGGACGTCGAAGAGACTATTCGTGACGCAGCTTATTACATCCGTGATCACAAGTTCAACGACTTTGATCGGCGTTATTATAGAAATATGAGTGATTACGAAAAAACAAGTAGTAGTAGATTGTACCAAGAGTTTGCTAAGCCCAGGTTGAAATCCCTGCATTGGCAAGTACTGAAGTACTGCAATGGCGGATTTTTTCAGTGTCTCAAGTACATTGACAGTATGATTAAAAAAACATCACCAAAGCGGCTTGATGATATTGTATATGTGATTATTAAAAATAATTGGAGTAGAAAAACTCACAATCAGCAAATAAATGTTCTTGATAATCAATGCAGATCATCGCGTGATAATTATTCACCGTTTCAAGGACCTCTTGGTATTTCTTCTTCTTTATCTTTTTTTTCTTCTTTCATTATTATTAATTTTTTTTTTTAACTATTAGACTGAAGATATATTTATAGATTTCTTCTCTATAATCTATATTTGTAGATTATTCTCTAATAATAATTACTTAGACTGTCAAATTTAAATCATGACATTGTACACATGGTCAAAAAAATTAAATTGTTATTTTAAATTTTAATATTGTAGAGCGTTTTCAATGGCGAACATCTGTCAGTTATTATTTATGCTGGTACACAATATTGAATAGACCTGAAATGAAACATTTTAATGAATCTTGTGATAATTTTGCTAATTGTCTTGATGATAATTACTTTACTAATAATAAAGACCCACGAGCTGATGATAAAATACCATTTGCATGCGCATTTTATAGCTTTTGTCCTGATCCTTGCTGTCCTTTGAAAGTTGTTTCTAGTATTTTAGATTGTTCTAAAAGTCTATTGAATCCATGCTTGATTAATAGTAAAAAAGGTAACAAAAAAAATAAATTATTATAAAATTTTAAGAAATTAAATTAAGCAGACACTTAAAAATTTTTTAGTTTTTTTTTTTTTTATTACATACAAACTAAGCCTAGAAAATTATTTATTAAAAATTTTAATCATAATTTTTAAGAGTTTCTAAAAATAGAATTTCTTGAATAAATTTTTCTTATTATAATTTATTAGTTAAAAAATTTCTTAAAAAAATTTCATGTGTAGAAATTCAAAAAAATTACAAATACAAATTTTTTAAATTGAAAATTTAGCATTATTTTATCAATTAAATAAAACTAAAAATCTTTTATCCATAAAAATAAAAATTTTTATTTAATCTAACTTGTAATTAAATAAACTTAAAATATTTCAGAATATAATAATTGTTACTTCCCATTTGAAAATAATTACAACTTCAATTCACTGATAAGCAATAAATTGAATTTAACCTGCGATTGTGACGAACCAGGATACGAATGGTCATCAAAATTCGGACTATGCATAGATATTGATGAATGTTCAACAAATCTTCATGATTGTTGGCCAGAATCTCATACAGTCTGTATTAATTTGCCGGGAAGTTTTGACTGTGTTTGCGAACTCGGATATGAGTACGACAATGAAACAGAGAGGTGTAAAAATAACTACGCGGTTCAAAATGTTCTCAGACAATCTTTGTCGATTGTTAGTTCAACTCCGCAAAGCTTGTTTGATATTATCGTTAATGCTTTAACGAAAAAAATTGACATATTGTAAAAAAATCATTAAGATTTTTAGACATTAAATAATTTATGTTTATTGATAAGTTTATTTATTCATATCTGATCATAAATAAATATGGATAAAAATGCATGTGCAAAAAAAATTAACATCCATTATCTGCAGGACGTAAAGTATTAAGTAACTTTTGTACAAGTTTCATCACAGGTTTAATTGGTCTTTTTCCAATTGAATAATCTTTGTCTATTTCCAAACATGTACCATCGGAATCTGATGCCGGCCAGTTTAGATCTTCTAGTATTGGATCTGTTGCATTTGGTGTCGGATTCCTGATTATCAAAAGTAATTTAATTATTATAAATTTCAATTTTAATTTTTATTTATTTATTTATTTATTTAACGTCGTTTTAACCATTTGGACTTAGACGACAAAAATTTTAATTTTTACAAATCTTCATTTTATTTTTTATCAATTTTTATTTTTGTAAATTTTATTTATTTTTTTTTTTTTTCAATTTTAATTTTTACAAATCTTTATTTTTATCAATTTTTATTTTTGTAAATTTTATTTTTTATCCATTTTAATTTTTTTTAATTTCAATTTTTAAAAATCTTCATTTTTATAAATTTTAATCTTTATCAATTAATTTTTTTTTATAAATTTCAATGTTTTTTTTTTAATTTCAATTTTTACAAATCTTCATTTTTATTAATTTTAATTTTTATCAATTTTTATTTTTGTACATTTTATTTTTTATTTTTTTTTCAATTTTAATTTTTACAAATCTTTATTTTTATCAATTTTTATTTTTGTAAATTTTATTTTTTATCCATTTTAATTTTTTTTTAATTTCAATTTTTATAAATTTTAATCATTATCAATTTTTTTTTTTTAAAATTTCAATGTTTTTTTAATTTCACTTTTTACAAATCTTCATTTGTATTAATTTTCACTTTTGTAAATTTTAATTTTTATAAATTTTAATATTTTTTTAAATTTCAATTTTTAAAAATCTTCATTTTTATGAATTTTAATAATTATAAATTATAAAAATAACTTACCCATATTTAGCAAAATTACTCCATAGTTTAACCATCTTACTACGCTGCTTGGAGATAGAACTCTGAGGATTAAGACTTTGATTCCTATGAGACACCCAAAAAACATGAGCAATGTCGTCAGAGTGAGCTGTACCATTCAAAAAATTTCCCTCAACTTTGTGGATCGCTTGAGGATAATCAAACGAATTTTTATAGTAATAAATCGGTTGTTTACTGTTCTTGATCAAATATTTCTGAGTACGGTCAATACCGTCCTTGAAAGCTATATCTGTGGTCAAGTCCGTTACTACATCAATTACATCGACCGTTAAAGTACCCAAATCACTCAGGCCTGTTGATACTATATTCTTGAGTATGTCTAAGTTTAAAATAGTGTTTACTCCCGGTAGATGGATAAATTGATTAATCGTTTGATTTACAGACTGCAAAAAAATCGTAACGTCTGAGGCAAATGATAAAGTTTCTACATTAACGAACCCGATTATTTGCGGGACATGATTGAAGTCACCAGACTCGTATTTCTTTGTTGAACATTCGTTTAAAAATGGAGTCTTTGATACTGAAGGGGATTCGATCGTTGGATTAAATGGTAAGTCAAGCTGTAATTAAATTATTAATTATTCTTAATAATTTTTAATTTATAAAAAAAAAATTTTGATAATTACAAGGGTCATATTTTTTGTCGCTTCAATAATTTGTTCAGCCGTGACACTTTTTAATTTTTCTAGAAGAGCTGTTTTATTGTCAGTAATAATTCCTAATATTTCTCCGAGATAAAAACTCCGTGAAATAGCTTCATCTGGTCGATAAAATGCCCAAAAATTCAAGGGAGTTCCACTCATGTATATTGCTCCATGAAATAATCCTAAATACATACAGAAAAAAAATTTAACTTGAATCAAGAGAATAATTTTGAAGAGCTTCATCTTCGTGATTTAAGTAGAAAAATTCTTAAGCTTAGAAATTTTTTTTTAGTAAATTTTACTTGTTCCAGGAATTTTTCGTCTGGATTCAAGTTAATTTTTTTAATAATGTTACCTTTAGAAAGAGGAGATAAAACATGGAACCCAACACTTGCAGACCCAGCGCTTTGTCCAAAAATAGTTACTCGATTAGGGTCACCTCCAAATTTATCAATGTTTCGCTTCACCCACTGTAACGCAAGAGTCTGGTCCTTCAATCCCGCATTACCAGTCGCATCTGAAATGTTCAGTGCTAAAAATCCAAGAGCTCCTAGGCGGTAATTCATCGCAACAATTACAATGTCATCTTCGATTAAAAGGTCTGGACCATATCTTGTTCTATTGACGTATCCGGTAACGAAAGCTCCTCCGTAAATCCAAACCATTACGGCGCGTAATTTATTATCCGTAGAATTGATCTTTTTAAATTTAAACAACATTAATTTATGAAGCTCATCCTTAAATTACACTCATCGAGACCTTTCATATGAGTACCCTCATCAATTTTTTAAATATTTATATATATTATATATCAGTTGATGAAATACAATGTCATTTTTCATTAATTATTGACATTTTTAAAGATATAAGCTCATCTTGATGTTACACTCATGAAGACCTTTCATTTGAGTACCCACATGCATTTTTGATATATTTTTCATATATACATATATATACTATATATAAATATATGAAAAATTGATGTAGGTATTCAAATGAAAGGTCTCGATGAGTGTAATATCAGAGTGAGCTTACATCTTTAAAAATGTCATTAATAGTTGACAAAATAAAATGTCATTTCTTAATTATTGACATTTTTTAAGATAGAAACTCATCTCGATGTTACACTTATCAAGAGCTTTCATTTGAGTACCCACATGGATTTTTGATATATTTTTCATATATACATATATATATATATATATAAATATATAAAATATATGAAAAATTGATGTGGGTATTCAAATGAAAGGTCTTGATGAGTGTAATAACATCGGGAGACACTAAATTTCACTAAAAAAACCGATTTTATCATATGACTATCCTGGCCACAAAATTCTTCTTGTTTTTTTAATAGTATATGGATAAGTAATTAACAATACTAACTTTAGGCGTGTAAACATTAAGATAAAGACAGTCTTCATGTCCATCAAAGAAACTGTCTTCATAATTCCATTGAGGACAAACACTTGCTTCTCTAGTGGTATTACGAACATCCTTCCACTCATCAACTTCTTCTGGAGGCTGTAAGAGTTTATTTAATATTAAACTTAAATTAATTAATATTATTAATATTGTATACGTGAAGAAATATAATTCACTTGAAATCTCAAAGGACCAATAGGAGGTTTGCCATATGGAACGCCTTCAAAACTCGAAAAAGGAATATTTTTTGCAACAGTCTGTAAAATTTTACCCCGAATTGGACCTTTGTCAGTTTTAATAACCTCTGTTGGTTTTAATTGAGTTGAATATTTAATCACAAAAAATATTACTAAAAAATATAAATAATTCATATTATTATTATGTGTATTGTAAATTTGAATAGTTAGTGAAGACTAATATTCTTCTTTTAGCTTACTTAATTTAAAAAAAAATGTGAAAATTTTTTTTCCTTGTACAATTTACACATATCATAAATAATATTGAATATTAACTGATATGATTAGACCAAACGGTGAGCTCAATGTCATTTCGTCCATAAAATATAAAAGTTATTAGTACCTGTTTAAATAATTATCAGTTTTTTCTAATCATTTATTTTTCAATTGTAACTAATTATCTACAATTAAAATTCACTGTGCTCACTTCACTTGTTTTAAATTTTAAAATTAAATAAAATTTATTTATTTTCTCTGTATAACTTTTTTCCCGACAATAGAGGGCGCTAATTTATCTTCTGTTGAAAAAATGTAATTTTAACCTTACTATTTTTATTTTGACAGTTTGTGTTTATTATATTTATTACTCCTTAGTAAACAGTTGAAGTCAGCTTGCAAAAATTTTATTTTTTAACAAGTCTGATTAAAAAAAAAAAAAATGAGTGATGATATTAATCAAAATAGTTCACAATCAAACACAAATACATACTACAAGCGTAAAAATTGGGACGAACAAGAGAAAACAATCTTATTAAGAGCGCTTAAAAAATATGGTTATAAAGACATTGAAAATATCGCGAAAGAATTCCCATATAAAACACCGGCTGCTGTCAGGACGATGATTAATAAATTGCATTTAGCTGCAAAGAAAAATTATACTGTAAAAAAAGTACAATTAGATGAGTGGTTGAAATCTGGATATTTTAATAATACTGATACTATGATACCTGAAGCGCTTAAAATTATATCTGAAGTTGAAGATCATCCTTTGCGTGAGCAATCAGCTGATTGTGATTTCACGTAATTAGTTTTTTATTTTTAATTTATTAATAATTAAATTAGCTGACATTCAACAATTTTTGATTTTTTAAAAATTAAATTAGAACTAAAAGAATATTTTTAAAAAATTGCACGTGTAATTTTTAGAATTTTCTACATGTGAAATTTTTTTAAAAATTTTATTAGAAAAATTATTTAAATATCTTCTAAATTAATTGTCATAGTTTTTCAAGTTTTTTACAAATGAAAATTTTTTTTAATAAAAAAAAAAATTATACAAATTTTTAGATGTCAGCTAACTTAATTTTCATCAAAATTTCTACTAATAATTTTTTTATAATTTATGAATGACATTAAAGTTAGCAGTCGTTTAATAATTTTTTTATTTTATTCAATAAACAAATTTGGTCCAAAAAATTATTTTTTAAAAATTGCATTTATAATTTTTCAAAATTTCTACACGTCAATATTTTTTTTTTTTTTTATTATTTTTCCCATAATTTATTTGTTAAAAGGAATTCTAAAAATTATTAAATATCTATTAAATTATTTATCATATTTATGACAGTAAAATCAGCTGATATTAAAAATTTTTTAAGTAATTAAGTTTGAGCTAAAAAAATATTTTTAAAAAATTGCACTTATAGTTTTTTTAATTTTTCTTTTAATTTTTTTCTATCATATTTTTTTAACAAGAAAAATCCTAAAAATTGTCAGATGTCTGCTAATTTACTTTTCATTTATAATTATCACCCGTGGAATTTTTTTATTAAATTTTTTTCATAATTTTATAGCTATAAAATCCAAAAAAAATTTTTTAGTATAATTATTTTAATAAATTTTATTCCAGGGCACTCTATGACCTGCTGCATCGCATAACACAGGGACAACCAGCTGTTGATGTAACCCAGATGACCGTCGAAACATTACTATACACTCTAAATCAAGTAACTCATGAAGTTTGGCCAAGTTGTGAGAAACAAGCCTACGCATACGTGGAAAAATTAGAACAATCCAAGTCTCGGAAAGTTTATCCACCTCATCGTTCTAAGCGTATAAATAATACAAGCTAAAATTAATCTTCTAGTAACATAAAAATAAATAAAAAAATTTTTAAATACAATTATGAAAAATGACTCAAGATGTAAATTAAAAATACGCAAATAAAGTCATTATATTTATATAATTTCTTCATTAATAATCTTAACTTACATAAATAATTGACATCATTAAATTCTTCAGAATAACATCATTGCTATTTCATTTTTTTTTATAACTAATGAATAAATGTAAATAAGAAATTAATTTTACTAAAATTAATATTTTATTGATATAATATAATATTTTTATACCCAAATATTTATTTGAATATTTAAAATGCAACACTTTAATTGTTCTTATTTTTACCTTTAACATTATTAAATCATTTTATTTTTATATACAATTATTAACTAATGTTTAATATTTTCAGTTTAATTTATCGCAAATTCAGACTTGTCAATAAAAAAAATTGTCATTGTAAAATAATTAACTGAAGTTCTTTTTAATTAATTAATTAATCAATCATAAAGAAGAAATTGAAAAGTATTAACTAATTTAAAATTATAAAAATTAATACAAGTTTTATGTTTAATTATTTCATACTGTAATTATTTAAACGATTTATCTATATTTATATTTAATTATATAATTATTGAATTACCATCATTAATCTTTCAAAATTTCCCAAGCATCTTCTTCAGCTTTTGAAGAAGTTTTTTTCCAACTATCCTCATTTTTACTGTCGAAGTCAATCAATGATTCTTTATCTTTTACTTTTTTCTCCTTACTTCTGCGAGATGTTGATTTAGTTTCTGTAATGGTCTCTGAGTTTTGTTGCGAATTGCCCCAATCCCAGTCTTGCACCGATGAATTGTTTGAAGATGCACCACCACTTTTAAATAATTATTTAGATTAATAAAAATTTTTTTAAATATTGTTATTATACGTGAGTAAATAAAAAAAAAAAAAAAACTTACTTGCTACTAGAATTAGACATTAGGGAAGACTTTTCATTGGATAAAGAATTTTGATAACTGTTTTGGTAACTATCAGATGATACGTTTTGATACTGGTCATTTGATTGATACTGATATTGTGATTGAGATTGCGATAAAGATGATGATGAATTTGTACCAGAAAGATCTCCCCATCCGCGACGTCCCATATCTCCTACCTGTAATTTTTATCATTATGATTATGATTATCAATTTTTAAATTAATTAAAATTAATGAAAATTAATGAGTAGGTAAAAGGAAAAATAATAAATTAAAAAAAAAAATAAATAAAATACCTTGGAGGCTAAAGTATTAACTTGAGATGTAACATCCTCTAATAAAGTACCATCACGTACCTAATAAAATAATAATAATAATAATAATAATAATAATAATAATAAATAAATAATAATAACTAGCAACCTTGCAGTTACTATGTGACTGCTGTGACTTGTGAACTATAAATAAATAAAATTTTGCTTTATTGAATAATGACTTTTGTTAAATTGCACTGTACTTTTCTAACTATTGACATTTTTAAAGATATAAGCTCATCCCGATGTTACACTTATCAAGAGCTTTCATTTGAGTACCCACATGCATTTTTGATATATTTTTCATATATACATATATATAATATATATAAATATATGAAAATTTGATGTGGGTACTCAAATGAAAGGTCTCGATGAGTGTAAAATCGGGATGAGCCCATATCTTTAAAAATGTCAATAGTTCACGAGATACATAATGATATAGAGAATAATAATGATAATATTAATAATAATTAAAGCTCAAAATGTATTATTGCTGTATCAAACAAAAATTTGTTAAAAAAATAAGATATTGTTGCTCATTATCGTAGTTTGGAATTAATAATAATAATAAAATATAAAATAATTCAATAAAAAAAAAAATAATTTTATAAATTATAAATGAAAAAAATACCTTTTGTGTGGCCATACCACCGATTTTAAAAGCATTCTCGGTAGCTTTAGTAGCAATTTTAGATGCTGATGATGAAAATATTGACCATCCCTAAAAAAAAAATTTTTTTAATTAATTAAATAAATACATTAAAAATGATAAGAAATTTTTTCAAAAATAATTACACTCGCTAATGAAGAAACAGCAGTGTCAAAAAATTCTTGAGAAGTACTTCTTGGAGGCGCATCCATTTGATATCCGAATCCTCCATACTTACCACCTTGGTTCGGTGGAACATTACTGTAAATATAAATATTTAAAAAATCACTGAATTCACTAAAAATGAAAATAAACTATGAATTAATTAACTAACTCTGGTCTAGTAGCGTTTTCATTCTGTACTCGCGCAAAAAATGATTCAGTTTGTGTTTTAAATGCAGCTGTATTAAAATTACTCTGCTGATACGAGTTTGGATTATTTACATCTTGCTGGTAGGATGAAGATGAAGACATCCCACCAGATGAAGAGTATGAATGATTATCATTGCTATTATTGTCAGAGTAAGTTGGCATAAAATCTTTAGCAGCAGCCTTATCAATGCTCCAAGATTCACCTCGAGCTAACGTAGCAATCTAAAATGATGGATAAGCATTAAAAAAAATTAGAAAAACGGTTCACCCTAAAGGCCATCCCTGCAACTTCCCGCTTATTTTGTACTTGAACGCTTCAAACTACACATTACGTTTTTGAGCTCTTCGAGCTCAAAAATATTGTTTTTGTGTCAATTTGAGCTCTTCGAGCTCAAAACTCTAATAGCAGTTTAAAGACACAATTTTTTGAATTTTCAAACGGCAATAACTTTTGAATGAATGAACCGATTTTCACGCGGTTGGCGGCAATCGACGCAGTTTCTGAAGCTCCATGAAAAATTTTCAAGTTTAAATCGATCGAGCCATGAATTTCGAAGTTATTACAAAAAAAAACTTTTTTCGATTTTTTTCGACAACGATATCTCACGAACGCATCAACCGATTCTGACGTTTTTGATGGCGATCCATGGGGGTTTTCAAGGTTAAGAGCTGATTAGTTTTTGAGACCGATCAGTTGAGCCAATTCGGAGATATTTAAAAAAAATGAAAAAAAAAAAAAACAACTTTTTTTTTCACTTTTTTTGGATTTTCTCGAAATCTACCGGTCCGAATCGGTTCAAATTTTCAGGAAATCTAAGTTTAGTGAAGCCCTCTCGAATGACACCAACCGCGATGAAATCGGTCAAGTCGTTCAAAAGTTACAAGAGGTTTACATACACACACACATACATACAGACGTACGGACATCATCGTAAAAATAGTCAGGGAAGCTTCCTGTGACCTTCAAACGTCAAGATCTGATGAAAACTTGATTTTTGTAAAACGGGGTGAAAACAATAACTTCCCGATTTTTGAAAATATGAGATTTTTAGCGGGAAGTTAAAAATTAAAATTAAATTAGCCCAATTTTTAGATTGAAAATAAAGTTTAATTACCTTGTCACGGTACAGAGCAGCCGCTTTAGTGTTGTACTTTTTATTAATTGGCATAGAATCATCCCAATCTGCCTGGGACTCAAAAAATTCACGTGCTTTTCTATTACCTCCGACTTTCATTTTTTCCAGCTCGACATCTTTCCACTTATCCATTGATATAGATCTTACGAATGAAAGATGAACACCAAGGCCACGGTGCTTGCCCGAACACTCCAAGCAAATCCATATTCCATATGTTACAGAGACCCACTGAGGATTATGAGCTCCGCACTCAAAACATTTCTACAAATTTATTTAATAAATTTAATAAAAATAAAAACAGCTTCAATAATAAAAAAAAAAAAAAAAGAAAACTGACAGCAGCAGTTCCTTTAATTATAATTATAATTATTACTCACATTATTTTCGTCGTGAGGCTTCAATTCACCCAAAGCTCGACGTGTTCTTGGACTCGCCATTTTATTTTAACTAATTAAAACTATTTATATATTTAATAATTATTTTAAAAAAACACCAATTGGAGCAATATATTATATTAAATGCCAAGTGTCATAACCAGTTTTTTTTTTTACCGATGCGAGATGCGAGGAAGTGAAGGCAAGAGCAACAATTCAGGCTAGGCAACTAAATTACTAAATACATCAGAATCTTCTACCTGTAAGTAGTAAGTATGTACAATTATTTATATTTTTTATCTCCTTTACATTACAACTATTATTATATATACATTACCTCATAAAAAGTACAGTTTTATATTATTTTAAACTATTTAAGTTCCACGTTAAAATACAAGATATATCTATCTTTTATCTACAATTTTCCCAGCACCAGATGACTGGCTGGCGCTTTGGTAGGTTTAGTTAGACTTTTGGTCGATGGCGGCGTGACTGAGGCGGCAAGACTGCCGCAGGAAGGTGCCACATTATCACAATTTTACGTTAATAACCTGCATCAAGCGCTATTGGAAAACTGAGGATTTAAATACGCCGCCTGGTGGTTTAAATTCAAACTAGCGATTGTAGGATAGAATCATGTTTAACACAATGTTAATATCAATAAAATAGCAAAATACAGTGTAATTTTTATTAAAAAAAAAAAATAAGCAATACAAAAAGTGAATTTCGTAATCATACATTTATAAAAAATTAATATACGTACATCAATATAATTATAAAAATGGAATTTCCTCCACATAAAAATAAAGAATTGATGGTGTAAACTATTTACAAAAAAAAACATCAATAAAAAAATTAATTAAAATAAAAATTATTTAAAAATGTTTTGCTAAAGCTGATAAAGAATTTTCTTCCACCATTATTTTAAGAAATTCTTCATATTCTGCTTCATCTAATTCAGTTAAACCCATGCTTAAACATACTGGAGGATCAGTAGCAGCTTCTTTTGGAGTGACGTATTTGCCTTAGAGTGATCTGATAGATTTCTTCATTTTAACTTTATCTTCATCTTTTTTTTTGTTTTTCTTCAACACATTTGTGTTCAAATAAAAGCTTCGCCTCATATTTTTCAAGAGCTGATTTATAAGGTGCATTCCAGGCACATTTCTTATCTGTACACGTAATATATTTGAAATCTTCAAAGTTATTTCTGTAAATACAGAATAATAGAATCAATAATTTAATAATTTTAAAGTTTATTGATTAACAAGAAAGAAGGATAAAGTCACAATTACCGGTTACAAAATAAAAGTACTACCACAATATGTTTGCAAGTACTTCCCAATCCAGCCTTGCAAGAGCATTCCATACCAATTATTTTTCCGTTCTTTGAGAATTGAGCATTTATTTCATGAGGTTAATTTCTTAAACCAGCTGTTTGTAAGCAAAAAGCAAGGATATGATAAACATCACTGTCATCACTATGATTCACTTTCCCACAATTCAATAAATGACCGCAATCAATAATATTTTCTCCATCAATAAAATTCTTACTAGCAGCTGTAGCTGAAGTAAATTTACAAATTTCTTGTAAGTTTACACGCATTTTTAATTAAATTTTGGTCACACGCAATTTTTAATTTAATTTTATATCCTAATATCTACACGTTTATTTACAAGCATCAGCTATATCCAGAATCCTACAATCGCTAGTTTATTTTTTAACCACCAGACGGCCAAAAATTAAGCCACGCCTCTCCCACGGATCCCAATACAGTTATATATATATATATAGTTGAAAAACTTATTGTTAATTGTTATAGAAACAATTACAATTAATGAAATACTTATTAATTTTTGAATTACTAAATTAGAAATTGTGCGTTTTTTAGTGAATTGAAAGTTTAAAAAGTAATTTAACAAAAAAAATTGTACTACGTCGTTAGAGAGATAATAACATCCAGAAAATAAGTAGTAAAAAAAAAAATTTCTTTTGTAAAAAATTGCGTGCTGTGTAAAAAACTAAGTGCAATTTTTAATAAATATATTTTTATTCCAATTTAATAAGTGAAAAAATATTCAAAAACGTCGGCTAATTTTAATATTATAAGATTTTTGTAACAATTAAATATGAGCATAACACCATTCAAAAAACGAACTGACTTTATAAAAAAAAATAGAGGTTTGGACAATTCTCGACTTCAGGTCATATCTTAAGGAGGTCCTTTCGCCGCCAATGTAAAATAAAAAATATTAGATTATGAGTAAATT